TTTTATCTTGGATAAAATTTTATCTTGGATTGAAAAACTGGCCCTTACAATTAAAAGTTGGAAATCATTTAATCGATGAGTAAGGAATATAATTTAATTAACAGGATTACATAAATAAAATTATATATTTCTTTATAAAATGTGTAGAAAATTTGCCAAAATGCGCTCGCAAATTATGCTGGTTTATCTGAGACATGTTTACAAACAAATAAATTTCAAGGTTAGGGAACTGTTACGGTGTTGTCAAGTGTTTACCGGTAATTCAGAGTGCTATATTTTTTTTAGTCAATTAAATAATTATTAAATGCGTAAATTTTTCGGAAATTTCCTCAAAAATGTTATTAATTAATTTGAAAATTAATTTTAAGATGCATAACAAAAGTATTTCTACGCATTATTTTTTTTTTAGACATTCTTTACACTAGCAGGGTACTTGGATTTCCTTAAATTACATTTTATGTTAAAGTATTGAATAAATATTTTTTATGTATAATTCAAACTCATATTTTCCCGTTTGCCCTCATAACTTGAACTTGCGCCTTACCGGAACATAATGAGTGATTCACAAAATCAATTGACTAATAGAAACAATTTATCCACGGAAACCTTAAAATCTGTATCAGTAACTAAAAATTATTTATCTAAGGATAGCGAAATTATTAATTTTGAGCCAACAAACGAAATGATTGATACAAATGTTTAAGAAAAATAACGATAAATAATAAAAAATCTGAATTAATATTGTTATGATAACGATTATCATTACTAAGTACATCGTCTAATGTTTATTTTTTAATTTATATGGTTTATATATTTAACAAATACTTAACAATATTATGTTTTAAAAGTTTAAAAAAACGAAATAATTCAATAAATTTTATTAATAATTATTATTGTGTACTTTTTATTTTGAATGCTCTAAGATTTAATATTTAATTTTAAATTTACCGCGCTTTTAGTAGATGGCAACACTAACTTTCAGTGCCGGGTAAAAACGGGTAATTGGACTTAGTGGAGTGGGTAATTCTAACTTAAGCCATCGGCAACACTGCAAATCATAACAGTGTGGCCAGATCGTGCGATTTTTTTACCCCCACTTTGTACCGCTTTTCAATGTAGTCAGATGAGAGTGGCCAACAAAGTGGGGGTAAGAAAAGAGCACGTTCTGGCCACACTGAATCATAACAAAACTGAATAGCTTAAAAAATGTAAACAAAACTCTGTTAATGGTTTTTATCAAATTTCATATATTAATTATAAATTATTAAATATAAGTGAACATCAAAAGTTCAATAATATTTTTTATTGAACAAGTTAGATGTTAAAAAAAAAGAAAAAATTCTAATGTTTTATTAATCTACTAAATTAAAAAGTAAACTAACCTCAATTATTAAGTAAGTATTTTATTTATGTTTGTTTTTATTTATAATTCGAAATATTTTTATCTAGAGATAAATTTATTAGTTATTGATTTTCTCATTGTTTTTTTAATTTAGTTCCAAAATAATCCATTGATGTGTTGTTTAACCCTTCTTTGTTCACGCTTCTATGAGCGTTTTTTTCGCGCTTTCAGCATACCAATAATTATTTTTAAAAAATATATATATCCCAAGCGGCACAAATTTTTATTTGCTAATGTTTTGTTGAATTTAAGTTAACGATTACTAATTTTTTAACTTTTTGTTGAGTAAAATCTACCAAAAAGTCAACATTTTTTTTTGACGCTTGGGATAGTACTGAAATTAGCAGAAACTTGATAATTTCTTAATTTTTCTTGAAAAATAAACTAGGTCAAGAAAATTATTTAAGAAAAATTGCATTTACAATTTTGTAGAGTTTCTAGAAATTGAATTTTTTAAATAAATTTTTCTTACTACTTATAATTTATTTATTAAAAAAAATATCGGATGCCTCTCAGCTTTAGTGTTATAAAAATTTAGCTTCACAACAATCATTAATTATTTATTCGTTGAGGAATCTGATGTTTGACGTTCAAATCGATTAGCTGCAAAAAACACACCTCCTTCAAACTATCTTTTTTCACTTCAAGCTACTTAGAAAAATCTTTTTTGGCGAAATTGTAAATTCGCGTAATTGTAAATAATTAAAATAACGTCTAATAAATAATAAATTTAAATTTAATACATTAAAGATTAAAGATTATGGTAAGGATAAAGTAAATGCAATTCACAGAATTATTTTGCTGAGTTATCATTGGAATTTATTTATTTATATTTCTTTATATAAAGACCCAATAGCAGTAGCCAATAATAGGGTCACTGGAGAATAAATTTAACGTCCTTTTACAAATCATATTATGTACATCTAAAAGAAAAAGTATAAACAATAATATTTTAATGTACTTGCATTTAAAAAAAAAAAAGAACGAAAACTGAAAATTAGTGTTTTTTAAATATCCCAAGTGGCACAAATTTTTGTTTGTTAGCCAAGAGAATTAAAATTGATAATGATACGTTATTTGGTCAAATAATATATTTTAATATCAAAAGTCTCAGAGGAAAAAATCATTTAAAAGTTTCATTTAAAACATAAACGTTAAATTCAACAGACATTTATTACAAAAATTGGGAATTTATTACATTAATTTCCAAGTTTAATTTGATTTTACCTTGTTTATATACAAATTATTTAAAATAATTTTATTCAAAACTATATTATGTACGCACAGAAATTGTTTTTTTGTAAAAACTGTAAATACTATGTAATAAAAATTGCCATTTGGTCTGTGCCTTGGCATCAATAATCAAAATCTAAATTAAAAATTCTTATTAAAAGTTTTTTTTTTTTTTAGATCTCATAAATCTTATAATGGACATTAATCCCGAATCGAGTGGCGATGAACGGATTGAAAACCTCGAAAAGATAAAAGAATCAAAAACAGAATATCAGCTTCAAAAATTTAAATTAACAAATTTGAATAGTTCTCCCTTGGAACCTCACGCTGTTTCTACTGAAAAGGGACAGCAAAAGTTTGCGTCAGATGTATCTTGTGAAGTCGATAAGCCTCTCTCTTATCAAGTAATGGAATATTATCATAAATACTCGCAAAATTCAAACTTGAATAGATTTTTTTCATTACCTGGAACTAATACTGAGCAGCACAATCATAGTTGGAAAGCTTATAATAAAATTTTACCTAGATCACGACAAACTATTACTACGTCAAATGACAACTATCTCGAAGCCCCAAAAGAGCGACGAAGGTGGACTCGACCTCCTCTTATTGGTCAATTATCCGGATCTCTTGGTAAAGCTATTAATGATCCTTATGTAGAAAGAGTATTTTTAGAGCCAAGATCTTCATCGCCGGAAATTCAAGTAAAACCAAATGTATATCTTGAACCAGAAATAAATATACGTGAAAATAGTCCGAGGATAGAAAAATCTGGAATTTTAAATTTAGAAACTGATCGTGATTTAAAAATTTTGTCACCAGCATCTAGCAATACATCCCACAAGCCATTAGAATGGGACAGTTGGGCAGATGTTGGTTATCACAATGTTCTATTATCAACAGAAAAAGATTCATTACACACAGTTCAATCAGTTGAACACAAAGTTTCAACTCACAGCTTGTGCCCTACATCATTTCGATTAGATCCTGAAGGTACTACTGCTTCAAATGTTGAATCTTTTAACGGCAATGCACTCAACTCACCGTCTAGAACTCGACAGCAATCTTCGAAGCCTAACGCTCACTCTACCCAATTAACTGACGACATGATAAATTCTGAAGATGAATTAAAAATCACTCCAATTATTAAAACTACTTATTCAAATATTATAGCAGGAAATATAACTAGTGATAATGAAATTTTATTAAAAAGCGATGCTCCGTCTAACAGTAAAGAAAAAAATCAAGAAGAACTTGATCCAAAAAGTGATAAGTCGACACCGTCTGATTGTAAAACATCTAGTTCGTCTAAAAAATATTTTTCTATTTCAAATAATAAAAAAAATCCTATAAGACAAAGTCTAAGTGAAATAGATTTAAGAAAACTAACGACTGATGATAACAGAGGCCTTGTAGTTCCTTTTAATTTACAATCTACTTCTTCATTCACAACAATCGTAAATAAACCTACTTTATGTGATAAATATGTACAAATAAATTATATTCCTGAAAATGGCTCGAATAAAACGACGAAAGAAACTCAAGTTTCTTTATCTGGAGGAATAGATCAAGCTGGAAAAATAAATGTCGAAGAAAAAGTTAAAAATTGGCAAACTGAGTTGGATGACAAAGAAAGTGAAACAGACAAAGTACAAAATGAAAAAGACGATAAAAGTTATTCTGAAAATGAAATAAATAATCTAACTCTCAAAAGTTCAAAAATTAAATCTAAATATGATAGCAGAAACGAAAATAGTTTAACAAAACAGAAAGAGCCAAAAAATAATAATTTTCCATCTCAACAAGAATCTCAGAGAGAAGAAATAGAAGGAGGTAGAACATCTAATAGTTTTGAATATTTTCCTGGTCATACTTACAAAAATTTAGATCACGTGGACAATACTAGTCACATAACATCTATTCATACTGATAGATCTTATTCAACAATGCCAAATACAAGTTCAAGCTTGGATGAAAAACTTTGGGGTCACTCTGATAGTCTTCTTCATGATCTAGAACGGAGTTTAACAATATTGAAAAGTCTTGTTAATGCTAATAAGTGTGATAAACAAGTTAAAAAACGTTTAATTCATCATGTTATAAAAAGACTTGTTACAGCTAAGTACACTGATGATAAAATAGAATGTAAATTAGAGGATAATGTACCGTGGAATCCAGATAATACTAGAAATAAGATATATTGTAACGAAATAATCCAAGCTCTTGCCAAAAAAAGAAATCAACAAAATAGTACTGAGGAATCATCAGAAAATTCTAAATTAGATAAAAGAATTTTTTCCTCAAATCGGAAAACTCAAAATAGAGAAATTCAAAATAAAAGTCAATTTATTAACAGTGAAAGTAGCGATAATTTTGACGAGAGAATTACTGACAGGACAGACTGTATGCAAGATGGACGAAAGGCTCGAATGGGCTTGAGAAATGATAAACATTGTTTTTATTATTATCGTCACAGTTCATTGAAAAATCAAAAAGACGATCAATTATTTGAAATTGACAAAACTGAAAGTTCTGATAGCTTCTTACCTCAACTACCAAATTTAAATTATCAAGAAAAATTAACCAAGTCATCAAACGGATTAATGAGAGAATCATTGTCTTCGATAATTCCCATAGCTACTACTGGACCCACAAAAACTCCCCGAATCGTACCAAATTCAACTTCAATCACTAGATCATCGAATATTACCAGTGGCAACAGTACTGTTATCACTACCTCGACAAACACCACTACTACCACACCTGTTTCTGTTAACAGTTCGCAGAGTAATTCAGAGCAACAAGGTAAAGTTCAGAACAATGCAGGACTAGAGAAGAAAGATTGGAGATTACCTTCAACAATGTCAGAAAAGCTGTTTGCACATGAATGGTGTAACTCTAAAATAGTATCGGCTACGCGCTTGATAGACTATGTTGAAATGGAAAAAAAAAATCAACTTGTCTGGATAAATAGTGAAATCAATCATTTATCGAGCTTGAAAAAATTACTAGAAGAATCTATTGAATCTATTAACAAAGATAAAAAAGATCATTTTAAAGAAAAATCAAAACGGGTGGAAGAAAATTTACCGAATTCTAGTTCTAATTTTAAAAAAAATAAGCAATGGTCTTCACATGGAAATCTCGTTGAAAAATTTAAAGAAAATCAAAAGATTTTGGAAAACAAAAATAGCCATACACGGCATGGTATCAAAGATGTAATAGCCAATAAAAATTCAAGTGACAGTGGACCAACTGTGAGATCGCCATTGTCAGAACTGTCTTCATTGTCTTCAGAAGTTTCTCGGCTAGCAAAAAATAAAAGCGAACGTTATGAATGCCAAAAGCAACTTGGCTTTTCTTCTGAATCAAGTTCTCAGTTTAAACAATTGTGTACAGATAATAATAGGCCCATAATCAACCAATCTCAAATTAATTCTAAAAAAGAAACTAAAAATCAACTCAACGACCGATGTAAATCTGATTTTATAGTTACTGAGGATGAAAAAAAATTTAATAGAGCTAAATATCATCACAAAGGTTTGTGTACTTCAGATGTTGTCGTTGTATGCTGTAACCATCAAACTGACGGCAAAGCGACGGATGAAGAAAGTCAAGAAAGAGAGTTGAAAAATGAAGATGATAAAATGACTCAGAAAAATCGAGAAGAGCTTGAAAAGGATGATGAAAAAAATGAAAAAGTTAATCAAGTAGTAAGTTATGAAAATTTTAAAACTTGTCATAGTGGGAACCAAAATTCTTCTAGTAATACAATGTACATCAAGCCGATTGCTTATGAATTATCTTTTAACAAAAAAAACGAAAAAACTTACTCAAAAACTAAAACTCAATCACCGCAAAAAACGCTAGACACTTCTGATTTGCACAATTCGTGTTGTAGCGATGATTGCCACTGTGATTCTACTCAATTTCAGTTGAAGGTTTGTTTTGTTTGAATTTATTAAAAAACATGTTAAATAAATTTTTTGATAATAATGATTGATGATTTTTAATTTTTTAGGACTACTTAAAAAAAAATAATCCTAAATTTGTAGACAATGTGGAGATGCGGAAACGTTATGTATCGGAAATTTCACAATTAAGAATGTTGAAAAAGAAAAATAGAATGCACTTAATACCACCGAGTCAACCGTCTAATTCAACAGTTAATCAAAAAACACACTCATCAAGTAAGCGAAAATAATTTTTTTAATTAGATTATATTGTTAATTTATTCATTAATTAAGTGATCAGTCTGATTTCGGCGCTTAAAAAAAAAAAATATTATGGATATTAATATAGAATTTATTTTAATACTAAAGTTAGCCGACGTTTTTAATTTTTTGATTATTTTTCAATTATTAAATTAAAATTAAAATATATTTTGTAAAAATTGCACTTCAAGTTTTTTAAAAATCAAAACTTTTTTTTATTTTTTTGTAATATTTTTTTCAATAAAAACAAATTCTGAAAATTTTTAGATGTCGGCTAAATTAATTTTCATAAATTTATTCAGCTTAACAAATACAATCTCAAATGACACAAAAAATATCTAAATTTATTGCGTGCATCATAAGCGAAGCGGATAAGGTAGTACTCTACTCTCGCCTTACAAAAATCAAGTGATTTTTTGAACTCAAATTGTCTCTATTTATTTTCAATCGCACTTGCAGAATAATAGTTACACATAAATGTCATTGAAAAACACTAATTTCAGAACTTATGAAATTTTGCTTTTTTAATAAATAAAAAAATTATTCCGTGGACGTCCGTGTTTTTTATGTATGTATGGAAACTGGCGTGGTCACGATAACTGCCGAAAAACTTAACTATAATCAAGTTTATTTTCTTTTTATACGTTTCAGTATTATCCAAAACCGAGTTATTTCGAAGATCACGGTCTAATTTAATGTAGTTTAATCATAATTAGCAAAAAACTAAAATTCACTTATCGTTTGTACCTTTCTTTTTTGGGTGGACACTGGCGCGAAAGATTTAAAAGTAATTGTATTTTATTTTAATCAATTTTATTATGGAAAATGAGATTATGAAACATGCACTTTTGGATTTTCCAAACTTTTTTTTATGATGGAAAAACGAATGAACGGAACTCTAAACCACAAGAACTAAAATTATTTACCTTCAATATACAAGTAGTCATTGCATCAGCTATGAAGATTAATACCTATTGATAAATAATAAAATGGCTGAGATAAAAAAAAAAAAACTGAAAAATGAGGGTTTTTTTCATATTTTTTTAGTCCTAAAAAAATATGAAAAATCAAAATTTTGATTTGGTTGTAACTGATGCAATAGCTACTACTATATAGGATATGTGATTTAAATTTCATTAAAATTGGGTCAGTGGTTCCGGAGACATCATACATGTAAACCAGAAAAACATATTTCTGAGATAAACGCGTTAAAATTTTTTTTATTAAAAAAAAAAAATCTTACCTAAAGTCAATCAGCGATGCCGACACCACACAAAATCTTTTCAAAAATTTGGTTTTTTTTCACTTGAACATCTACATGAATCTCATCAAATAATATAGTTACAGTGGTTCGGTCACTTAGAAATTTTAACACAATACCTTTATGTACATACTTTCGAAAAATAATTTTTTCAAAAGTTAAAAACCAGAATGATCGATCACCAGATCTATCCTATCATCCTATCATCTTTGCGACAACTTCTTTCATTCAATACATTCTAGGGATTTTCTTTTTGTGACCTGAAAAATATTTCAACATGTTTTTAGTTTTAGTCAGTTAAAACAAATTTATTTATGGTAAAAAATATAGAAATAAATACTTACCTAAAATTTATTCATAAATATTTATTGAATCTAAATAAAAAAATTAAAAAATTTGTGATCGTGGATGGCCATGTCTAGGTTTCACAGTCAAGGTTACTAGAATTCTAGTAGTATTAATTATTGTCAGATTAGTTACTTGTCAAAGATAAAATTTTGCTATACATAGTTGTGTCTCACTTTTTCGTAAATTACTAAGAAGAGCAAAAAAGATAACCTACGAAACTTAATAGAAATTTTAACGTTAACTTGCTTTATTGGAAGTAGTAACAACTTTTTTCCTGTAAGAGGGCATTCAAAGCATCGAATAGTGGTTGTGTTTACATTTTTCTTGTTAACTTTATTAATTATAATATAAACATCATCTGTTCCTGTCATAACGATAAAGTACATTGTAAACCTCTAATATGTAAACGTTGGCTACATTGGTTTAAACCAACGCCTTGTAATTTTATTATTTTAATAATAATAATAAAAAAAAAAAAAAAAAAAAAAAAAAAAAATT